GTGTTTTAAGACACCTAATAATGACTAATTTTTCACACCTAAAAGTCACGTATGCCCTGCTTAGATTAATATTCCGTTTGAGTCAAGAGATCATCACCGCGGAATTTATGGCAACTTTGACTTCCATTTAAATAGGTGTTTTAAGACACCTAATAATGACTAATTTTTCACACCTAAAAGTCACGTATGCCCTGCTTAGATTAATATTCCGTTTGAGTCACGGGATCATCACCGCGGAACTGCTGGCAACTTTGACTACCATTCAAATAGGTGTTTTAAGACACCTAATAACTACTACTTTTTCACACCTAAATATCACGGATTCACAGCTTAGATTAGTAATCAGTTTTAACTACTTGATCATCACCAAGACAGTTATGGTACCTTTGAAACTATTTAAATAGGTGTTTTAAGACACCTAATAATGACTAATTTTTCACACCTAAAAGTCACGTATGACCAGCTTAGATCAATAATCCGTTTGAGTCACGAGATCATCACCGCGGAACTTATGGCAACTTTGACTACCATTTAAAAAGGTGTTTTAAAACACTTAATAATTACTAATTTTCACACCTACATATCACGTTTTTACAGCTTAGATTAGTATTCAGCTTGAGCCACGTGATCATAACCAAGAAATTTATGGTAACTTTGAAACCTTTTAAAGAGGTGTGTAAGACACCTCAGAATTACTAGTTGAATATAACCAGAGATTCACGGACAGAACAATAAGACGATTAGCCGGTGTAAGTAACGTGATTATAACTATCAACCTTTGGATAACCTGTGAAACCAATCGATAAAGGTGCTTACAAGACCAAATAATTACGTATTTATCGCCACCATCGGTTAACTGACAAAAAACTCGTTGCTTGGTCAAGTGGTTATTTGGTCATAAACACTTGATTTACAGAGGTAAGTGGAATCACGTTACTCCAGTCGCGTGATAAACTGGTGGTTTTTAGGTTAGATGAAAACGTGAACAGGAGTACCTTTTTTGTTTAAATGAAGGCACGTGTCGATAACGTTTAAATCTAGTTCAAAAGGCACTATACTTTAAAATCACTTAAAATACACTCCCAAAAGAGGTTACTTTTTAGTGTTCTGTTTATTGGGATGATTGGTATCAAAAATAAGGAACTCAGCAATGAGAACTACTGTAGATATTTAATGCTATCGTTTTACAAATTTTAAGACCAATAATATATTGCTTTAATAAGACATCTTGGTTTGACAACGTCAACCATTGTATATAGGTAAATGTAAAGACAGAAGCAGATCATGGGCAATTGTAGAACGTATAATGGCATCGAATAACTTTGCTTTTATACAAAACTAGCATTCTGGTAATGTAAGAAGGTGTATATTGATTTTTTTTGGTTTTTGTTTAAAAGCAAAGTTATCGCCTAGTATCCGGGCTAGTTTACATGTTTCATTTGAAATTATCAAATACATTTAAATTAACATGGGCACAGAAATACTAAAGCAAAGAAAATACATGCTAACATATTTTGCAAAGGCAAGTCGTGATGTAACGTGAATTTCAGTAGAAATAAATGGACTTAAACAGAATTTGAAAAAATATGTCTACCTTTGTTTTTGTTATTCGATATGATTACAAAACATCTAACATTTAAGTTAATGCAATGAAAAAAAAAGTAAAACATTACAGGATAGACCTGCATTTCATTTCCTTGTCCTTTATTCTTTATTCAACTAAAATTGTCCCTCTTACAAAGGCGACTACAGAATTTGTATTGGGTCCAATTCCAATATACAATGATGACAAGCAAAAATAAATGAATATACAAACACAATCAAAGGAGTCGTGTCAGTCATAAATAGAAAGCGAGGAGGGGGGGGGGGGGGGAGGTTCATCCAATACAAAACAAACTTTGGTAATCAAAAGAGGGGAATCTGACCCCATCGACCCCCTAATTCGGTCCCTCCTTTACCAGATAGAGGTACCACATGAAGACCATTTTTCGATTACTTTTACTTCCTTCACTTGGTTGTATAATTACTGATTACTGAAATTTTCATAGATTTCCATTCTCTTGGCTGTTGATAAAGGATTAAATCTATTTCATCAAACGGCTGTGTAAACAAGGAATGTGCAACTATCAGTTGTTTTAAGGGTACATGTATGAATAAATATGATTTTGTTTAGATCACATGGAAATTCATGAATTATTTAGTAAAGAACAAATAGATTAGGTCCTTGGGATGTAGAATTTTCGCGGATTTGCCAATTTACGTCTGATTGATCACAACTTTTAAAAATCATAATTGTCTTAGTTGCAAAGATGTTCATAGCTTTCTTCTTTCTAAGGATTTTCCTAAAGCATTCCGTTCCTTTAATTTTCCGCTTTTTGTAAAATTTCAAGTTTCAAGTACCTCGAAATCCGGTTGCATTTTGTGTTACAGGATATTATCATATTTTTCATGGAATACATGTTAAGTTTGGTTTCCAGCTTATGACACATAAGTATTCCTATGGAGCATCTCAACTTTCAGCAATATCACTTTCACTTCGTAATTAGCGTGTTTTCCTGACTGACAACATTGCGAAGTTGGAAATCATTCATGAAAGATCAACCAATCAGATATCGCGAAGAAATGGGTTGATGTTTCATATATTGCTATGTAGTACCACCATTTATTAATTTTCAACAAAGTTGCAATTGGATGAATACAAGACGACTGATCAGAAAGTTGCTGATGAAATCACGTTTTATCTATATTCCCTTGTCCGGCTTCTTGGCTCAGTGATTGTTGGTTTTGTGGATCATTTTCGTCTCAAGTATTATCACCAAATCTAGACTTCTCCTTCACGATCGACTTTCTCGGATTACGTGACTCCTTTAATCAATGGTGAGCTTCATTTTGACATTAAGACCATCAATGCATTTGATATGCACTAATTATCCGTATGTACTCCAGTGTATGGTTGTAATAACTTGTTCCACTTTTAGCTATATCGTTATATAACACAGCACAGATATCAAATTGAATTGAATTTGTCTTCTGCAAAACATACGCACCGAATTTCATTTCAACGGTACCTCAAACACAAAATCTAACATTCTCTTGAACGTATACACAATATCATAAAACTGATAAAAATGTTGACATCAAAACAAAATGTAACCGATAACACACTATTAAAAAATAATCATCAATAAATCACAATAAGCGTTCACTTGATAGCTTCATAGCCCGGGGGGGGGGGGGAGTGGATGATTACAAGAATAAAAAGGAACGATGATGGTGATGATGATGTTGATGATAATGATGATGAGAATAAAATGAACACATGTTGATGTGAGTACGTCTAACACATAAAAACGTATTGTATAAAAGAGTTATACAATAAAGCGATTGGTGTTTATAGAAACCTGGAAAGAACATTTCATTTCATTTTCTTTTCATTTCATTTCATTTTTATTTCATTTCATTTCATTTATTTTCATTTCATTTCATTTATTTTCATATTTCTCATGTGACATATACATCTCAAAACAAAGTACAAATTGTTTTGTGTGTGATAGAATAACAATCAATAATACATGATAAATAACATAAAGATAAGTGGTCGATATAGAGTACTGATTTAACTGAGAGAAATATGATGGGACCTACATGAAAGCAAGCTTGTAAAGCTGTAAGCCCCAGTGAAATAATTTGTGGTTATGAATGGAAGACGGATATAAATTGTGACCAATCCAAATAAATCAAACAATAAAAAGGGAGAAAACATGCGGTGATGCTGTTTATATTTAATCAGCACCGGAAAAAGATCAAACAATGTACCCTGACATAAATGCTTTCTTCGTACTGAATTTGAATGAATTTAAGGTTTTACATGTTTCAATTGAGTCTGGGAGTACATTCCATAGATCTGGACCATGAAGTCTTATTTTTCACCTTTTCACCTCTATGATTAAAACCGACAGCAAGCAAAATGTGTACTCTTTATTCATTATGGGATGAAAATGTAGACTAACATGTTCATTTGAGTGTATTGTATATGTGGTTAGTAAGGATGACAAATTTCAAGTGTGACAATCAACAGTTTGTTCAAATGGTCGATGAAAGGGAGAAAGGGTCTATACCCCCCCCCCCCAAAAAAAAGTGGACACTATTTATAATAGGATTTTTTTTTAATGAGTCTCTGAGAGACGATTTAAACAAAATTGGGGCATCTGGTAATTCAATTGTTTATGACCGTTTCCATCCTGTATAGTCAAATCAAACTATAAGAAAAACAATTATCAAAGAAGACGAAAGACTTGATGCATGGCTGATCGTCAACGAAACGGAGTTAAGTCTTTTGTCAACTCTGTTTGTTGCTACGGTAGGCAGCCAGTGAAAACGAACTCGTCTAATCAAGTTATGGAATTGTACGCATTACTTAAAAAAAACAGAACTTTGTTATTCCTGGCTCATCTTTCCTGATTGAGGTGTCATATGGCGGATTCATCAAGAGGACACCCATGACTTTTTTAAGCTTTCCTACCAACTGCGTATTTCGAATTAAGGAAAGAAGGCTGCTTCTGAATCTTTGGGAAATAGTCCATCATTCGTAATACAGATATGATTTATCGTTTCCAACTCTTTATAATAAAATAAATCGAGCCACGAAGGCGCTAGACTCTAAATTGTTGTTTAAGTTAGGTGAGAAGATAATTATGATACTTTAAAAAAACTTTCTTGAACAATTCTTTAATTTGTCCTAGCTTGAAAATATGCGTTCACCATGTGCATTACATTTGCAATTGATGATTCATAAGTGAAAAAAAATCAGTCACAGGCAACTGTCCACAACGTTAAACGAAGTAATTTTCAAATATTGCATGGAAACATGTGGTTCACCTAAATACCATGACAATTTGACAGAAAGTAAATTGATATCCTTTAAGCTCTGTGTAACTGGTATTCGTTCTTTCCTTTGTAAATTCATTTCAGAAAACCTTTTAGCTGATCACAGGTTAAATATGACAGATGAAAGCACCCTTCCTACGTCGGCATTTGATCCAACAAACGGCAGTCTTACAGGCGGTTATTATGATAATCAGTCTTTAGGCGTCGCCCAAGGTGTTGCTCTCTTCATCATCTTTCTTATGATATGCATCACAGGAATCATCGGAAACTCCATCGTGATCCTCGCCATTGTTCTCTCTCGCAAGCTCAGATCGACCCTCAACTGGTTTATCCTGAACCTTGCATGTGCCGATCTGTTGACGTCGATCTGCATTCCCTTTCAAAACAGTCCGAATGACTGGACCTTTTACTTGTCGTTACATTTCATGTGGGCCTGTGTTGGCGTAAGCCTTACAACCCATGCTTTCCTTGGCTTCACCAGTTGGTATCGCGTCACGAGAAACCAAGAAAAATTCAAGAAACTTTACAAGGCTCGAAACTTATGCCTTATGATTGCTTTCACGTGGTTGATTAACTTCTCCCTTTCCTTCTCAAGTGGCGTATTAGACAATGAAAAAGTTCGCTTTGTCGGAGCCTTTTGGGTCTTCGGGCATTGTGCAATTGTTGTCACTGTGTACCTAAAACTATGGAGGTTCATTGCACACCTAGCAGAGAAGACGAAGCCAACGAAGAAAGTCGACGAAAAGATACAAAATGCAATATGCATGGACACATTATGCCCCGATGAAAACCAAGTTACCCAACAAGGCGGTTTGGTCATTGAGAATACTGTTTTGAGGGCATCTCATTCGTCCGAGCATTTAGGAAGCCAGACCTGCGACAAATCAAAAGGTGAAAGACTCAAATCTGGTCAGCCGGAGAACCACATGCAGGATGCGAAGGCTTTGACGGTATCCCCATCTCTGGAAGAGATAAAAAGCACAGTTGGCGAATATGACAGAGGAGCGAAAGAAGTACCAGTACGTGTCGATGGATTGGAAACCAAATTACCTCTCAAGAAACAGACACAACCTAAAATTGACAAGAAGCTTCTTGCTGTTACCAAGAATCTGTTGGTCATTCTCGTTGCTTTTGTCATCTGCTTCATTCCTTACGCTGTAACCATATGTTTACCGATATCTTCCAGCGCACATTCCTGGCTTTTTTTCCTTCTATTGTCGAATAGCTGTATTAATCCCATCATCTACGCCAGAAGGATTCGTGCCTTTAGGGAGGTGATGGTATGCATCATAAGATGTAGGCTAGGAAGCATTCCCATGCCCATCGACTTGGTACGGAAAATGAGAACCACTGGCTAAAAAAATAACTTGCAATCACCCAGTGAAACTTCTTCTTCTTCTTCTTCTTCTTCTTATCGAGTCACTACACAAGTCCCGTCCAGTGGTCCACACAGGCTTTAGCACGGCAATTAACGGCTTCCAGGTCATTTTGGGTGCATGGCTCTGGCAGGAGTGGGCAGACTAGCAGGTGTTCCATTGTCTGTTCCTGGCCGCATTCACATGCCGTTTGTTCGTCTCCTAGACCCCACCTCTGCATTAGGACTCTGCATCGACCGTAGCCAGTTCTTAGGCGGTTGAGGCTAAGCCAGGTAGGCCAAGTCTCACTGGAGCCGGTTGCGAGGGATTCCTTCGGGCTGAGGGAGAGTTTATGTGGAGTGGTCTGAAGGTGGTTAGACCACAAAGTCATCCTTTGGTTGTGAGGGCTAGTATTAAGAGGCTCTACCGAGTGCAGAAAGCTGTGTCTGGATTTGAGCCGCTTGCCCACTGGCTGTTGTTCGAAGAGTGGGTGGAGTGGATTGTTTTCTTGTTTGTCCTTTCGATTATATTCTTTTTATGTCATACGTCTTTATCCTTTTTTTGTTTTTCTTTAAATATTTTTTATAGTTTACATGTACTCTACCTTGCTGATACCTCCTCAAAATATATACGATAGACTATCATTAATTCTGCTGCATTACCATATAGCTTACTTAGAGGTTACTGCAGATCAATCACCTGTACTGTATCTAGAGTATAGTTAATTAGTGTAGGAGAACAGTAAAAACAGTGGGGCCATTGAAGGAGCGTTCACGTCGCGGTCCGTCAGATGAAAATCTGCGAATCCTTCAACCACACTACTCAAGTTTCTTTTAGTAACTACCACAACCAACCCAGTGAAACTTAAAGCAAGGACAAAAGCACAGTGGAGACAAGTTCCACACAAATTATCGGCAGCCCATTGAGACCAGGAACATTTAACCATAGAAATAATGTAAGGCGGATAAGTTTCCTAGAATTTCCTCGCGGACAATTGAAAACTGGAAGCTTTAACCATGGATAAAAACATCCGGTAAACAAGTTCCCCCAATCACGAGTAACTATTCTAGATTTTGCCTGTCTTGAAGAAATTGCACGGAATAATGCGATAAATTACAATAAAAGTCACTAAGTATTAACCGATTACTTGGAAAATCTCATCAATCCCATGGAAAAACTTATAATTTTAATTCTGTATAATAATATGTTGATAAATATGAGAGTTGTTTTTCTTAAAGTTTTCAGTTTTATTCTGCAAAAAAAAGAAAAAAAATTGTTCTAGTTTTTTTTTATGACTAATAATAATATGTAGTGCCGTAATATTTTCCTAATATGTAATTATGATATATTTTAGTCTTATACATTGTGAAATTATGAACAATGAATTATGTTGTATTTATGTTCGTTTATCAAATGATGAAAAGCTTTGTTATAATTATGTTGCAGTTTGTATAAACTAGGATTATAGAAAATGCTTTGCTTGTATGTTATGTAAGAAAAGGAATTGGAGTTTTTAGAAATAAATTCAATGAATACAAAAAAAAATCCTTCAGTGTGTACCGAAGCGTGTCAATTGGAGGTGCCGTGGTATGGTGATTCATTCACTAGACTCTCAGTCCCAAGGCTCAGGGTTCGAATCTCAGCGCTACATATGACACTCTCCATCCCAGTGTTAAAGGGTACCTGGTAATTGCTGAGAGTAATAATAGCTTTAGGGAAAGAGCGGTATTAATACTGTATTACTAATCAGTATTCATTATTTCCTTAAGATCCTTTGATATATTATATTCAGTGGAGTATCCAGCATTATACATTTAAATGGAGCAAGTGTTTCCCCTCTAAAAGATGAATTAAATTGGAATATACCTTTTTATAACACGGGGTGTCGGTTAGAATTCAGAAAGAAAAAAAAGAAGTTTCAATTTGGGCGATCACACTTCCTATGGTTAGGGTTGCCTAAGGCACATTAGGCTGCCATTGTCAGTGAAGGTACAATAAGTATCAACCAATGTTCTGAATATGCCAATATTTGTATTTGTATGATATCTTAATCTTAGAATTTGATATTAGTGTTTTGTATAGATATAAGTAAATATGTACACGTCAATAATGTCAATGAACACAAATGAGTGCATGTATGAATGTATATTTGATTTATTCACGGTTAAAAACAAAATACAATAATTGTGCCCGCATTTAGCAAATACTGTTTTTCAGCGAGGCCGCGATTACATAAAATTCGAACAATAGAATATAAGACAATGAAAATACAATTTACAAACAAATATTATTAATTACCAATGATTTATGTGTGTATTTACAATTTGAATTTTGTATGTTATCTTAAATGTATAAGGTATCTTATAGTTAGACATAATTTATTTGGTATAGATATAAGTAAATATTTACACGTCAATAATGTCAATTGACAAAAATGATTGTAATCGTGTACTGTATAACAATGTATTTTGCACAACTTCAATCTCATGTTATCATATACAAAAAAGATGACATATCATACCACATAAGTATACTAAGTCTAGTGAATAATTTGCGGGATGAGATTTTGATGAGAAGTGGAAACACCACTGCAGATTGATAATTGTGTATTTGTGTATATATATATATATATACTAAAGTATTATAGTCGGTTGTCATTTTCTTTGTATTACTTCACTGTTAATAAAGAAAGCATGGGCTTGATTGTAAATAAGCTCCACATGACCGATGTTGCGGCTGTAAGTCCCTTTAGAGGGTATTGGTAATGATTGCTGCCCTACCGAAGGGCACTGGGACATCGACTTGGTATTGAACCTGGGACCTTCCGGTTTCGACACCTCTGCTCACCCCTTAATGCTCTTACCAAGTCCCTCATTGATGACTTAAAGGTCATCTGTACTAGTGAACTGGAGGGATAAGACCACCTTGCAAGGTCACTGGACAGGTGATTATCTCATCAAATCAGCTCTCAATTGACATAAGAAAAAGAGGATCATGGGGGACCAATGGTCACCGATTAGGCATTGTTTCTTATACAGAGGGCGCAAGTAGCTGTAAGTAGTGCAGTGGGCCTTTGAAGCCATCGGGCCCCTATTTGCTTACTTAGAAGCCTACAATATTTTCTTAGCAGTCTGGTAAGACAAAACAAACAACATTTTTGGAAGGGTGGAAGGGGAAAAACTTGCATACTATCACATAAGTGTGGAAACTTTAGGGAATCAAATTATTTAAAGAGTAATAGCCTGGTGATGATTACTTATGTTCGACGTATGAAATGACAAATGTAAGCAATTCATACTTGAAGCAGACATCTTAGAAAAAAAATGAAGTGAATGAAATATTTGTAATTTGTATTCGAGCTTAAATGTAAGATTATACTTATCAAATTCTAAAATTTTTAGTAGTTTCTTGGTAGTATCTTTGTAATCTCTGTAGTAGTCTGCTTTTGTTCATTCTTTTTTCACCCCGCATTAAAAAAATATTCATGTGTATGAATAGACCTGTATACTAATTTTGTGAATACTTTTTGTACCAAAGTTTCTCTTGACGACTTAAAAACCTTATCAGGTTTTTCCGACAAAGCAACGTTGAGTGCATGCAAAGTGAATGCCATCCATAGAGATGCCATTTTGCATAGCTGGTTAATCAAATAGTTGGTAACCAAGGATTCAGATAGGGGGCGGGGAGAAACATTCATTTATTGAAATACATTATTAAAGATCTTAAGATTAAGGTACAGGAAGGAAAAACCTCGCAAAGTAAGAATTCGTGTTGGGGATTCCTGAACAATGTGCATATTAAACACATGTACATAATGGGGGCGATAACGAAATGTTGGAATAGAGAAGAGAAGAGAGGGATAAGGAAGAGCAAGAAAGAGAATGAGACAGGGTAGAGAGAGAGAGAGAGAGAGAGGGAAGGCGATGTGGTAAGTGGGAGAGGAAGCGAGAGAGGAAGAGAGAAAGAGAGAAATAGATAGAGAGAAAGAGAGATAGAGTGTAGGGGTGATGGTATTGGTACTGAAGAAATAGACCAGTTTACCACCATATTCAAATTTCATGCATACTGTTTAAGTAGAAGTTCACAATGTCGAAAGAGATGAACGTGGAATTGGGTCTGGTTTCAATACCCTTGAACCAATCTATAACTACGATGGAATTTTTTCATTGGTTGACAAACGTAGCTGCTATCACCTCGGTGTTGATTCTTTCTAGTATTTTCTTGGAGATGATGCCGATTTCACTTTTACTTGGATTGATGAGTCTACATTTCGGGAGGCTTCGGAAGTTTTGCTTGTGATTTTTTAACGTTACATATGCGGGCTTCGGCATCCTATCTGAGAGATCAAAGTTGTCGGCGATCTTTATTGCTTCTATGTTGGTGGTCTTTTCTGATCGCTGATCTGATCTCTTGTATGCAGCTGTGTTTTTCATCACCTTTTCGTACTGCTGCGGGTGACATTATATTGTAGTAGTTACTCGTCTTGTCAGCTGGTACAAGGATGTTCTTTTCATTTCGGATTCTGTTCACATCTTTCTTATATATATATATATATGTATGTTTAATACTGTTTCCCGTAAACATGAGAGTAATTTTAATAGTTTCATACTTTTAATTAAATATAATGTAAATTGTTATTGTATAATTGTTTTAAATGGGGAGGGGGGCAGCTACAAGAGTCCTATCTCGCCCCCAGGGACAACGTGTCTGACACGGCCGATTTTAGCAACTATTTCGAAGATCAAGATACATTGGTCTTGCTCTAAGAAGACAAGAACACCCACAACAAAAAGTGAGTCACCCTTACTCAAATTGATGAGTCACTGGTTTGTCCGTACAGCGAAACACTTGAAGGATCATGTGAGTCATTATGACTCGATACAAGTGAGTCTTAGATAAATAAGACTCATTTGTATCGAGTCATAGTGACTCACATGATCCTTCAAGTGTTTCGCTGTACGGACAAACCAGTGACTCATCAATTTGAGTAAGGGTGACTCACTTTTTGTTGTGGGTGCATCATGACATAGACCCCCCTACTCCCTAGGCCTATCACACACATACCATACCATGCCAGAGTCACTGTCCACATTTGCAATGGAAAATATATCCTAAAATATCACATTTTAGCGATGTAATCGGTGGTCCCGCTACCCGAATCTGAAAAATCTACTTTGTACGCACTAAATTAAGCCTTTACTTGGGATTTATTTGTCACCCATACTGTCACGAAACAATCTTGAATTAATTCGTTTTACATCAAATAACAAGGATCTAGGAGTTTCGTTGTATAAAACAATGATGCAAGATCATGCATGTTTTCATTCGACACGGCTTCGTGCGATACAGTAGACACTATGAACATGACAGACAATGAAAGCGGACAAAATATACAGTTCCTCAGGTAGACAAAGGGACATCCCTTCACTGCTATTATGTAAAAATGTGTAGAACAGGTGTCACATGCATATTCACCCGTTCTACACATTTTTACATAATAGCAGTGAAGGGATGTTCCTTTGTTTTCCTGAGGAACTGTATATTTTGTCCGCTTTCATTGTCTGTCATGATCATAGTGAGAATCTATAGTTAAGTTACACACAGCCTCATCAACTCGAGTGCGGATATCGTAAAATGAACGCATGCATCATTTGTATAATAATCAGAAGATTCAGCCAACGAATCCAGTCATAAAAATCATCGTTTAAAACCATATGAATAATTATGCGTACCAATTTTTCACTAGCTGCAGTCAAAACTCTTCTAAATCCAAGATATAAGATGGCGACGTCGCGTCGTCGATCGGGAATTCAAATATGGCTCGAGAATGAGCATTTTGGATGACGTCACGAAAGCATGCGCGCGCATGCATACAGCCTCACTTTCAAGTTGACTCACTTTTTTCTTCTAACATGCTCTTATGTCGATCTTGACTCATTTTTTACGACCATGTGAGTCAGTCGAAGCATTTTGCAAATGCGTCAGCTCATGATTGACACACTGGTGAAATATAAATGAGTCAATAGAGACTCATTGGTTGTTACTAATGAGTCAATTTACACCTGACTCACGAAAATTATGCTTAAATGTGTCAAATGACTCACTTTTTGTTGTGGGTGAACGAACGAACTATATCCAACCGTCACTCCATGATGGTTCTGCTTTAATTTTTGCAGCGCCATCTCGTGTTTCCATTCAATTAAGGGTTTTGTTGCAAGTTGCATTTTCTTTTTCTCACTCTCTTCCGTCTTCCCCGCCTTTTGTTCTTGAGGGAATTTAGTTAATTCGTTAGAACAAGGCTTGACTAGCATTTGTGCTAACTTCTAGTTCTCATTCACAATTACTTCCCCTAATACACATATGTATGTGTATAACTTGTACATTGAATAGTATGCAGATCTATGTCTAAAATTGTTTTAAAACCATTACTGTTCAATCAAAATTAGGTATCGAGGATGCCTCCGGATATGTAATTTCGTTGGCGTTCAAGGCGTGCGGGGAGGGGGAGGGGGAGGGGGGGCGGGTGGGGGATAGGGAATATGGGCATGATTGGTGGTAGGGGTAGTTACGATATTCGGGCAACCCATCGAATTCGGGCAGCGAGTTGAACGAATTTATAATTTCTGTAATTTTCACTACAAAATGTAGAAAACTAGGATGCTGAAGAGTTGATATTCAGACAAAAGGCGTCAGCTCCCTTTTATGCATCTACGTGTAAATTATATATCTTATTTAGTCTATTTCTGTGATGAAACGAAGATGTCTCTTCAGAAATGAAAAGTTGAAATTAAACAAAAATGAGCAAGCCCACCCCCCCCCCACCCTCCCCCGTCCCTGTCGAAGATGTGCCCGTTCGCTGAGGTTTTTTATGAAATAATTTAGAATAATATATATCCACTGTCCCAATACTTTCATATTCTGAGAATAAGTATAAGGAAATAGAATTATTTGCAGTCGTCACGGCTTGTTGTATTTCAGGAAGTTTACGGAGGTCAGCTCTCTCTTTCTATGTAATACAGGAGTTATATGCTGGTACTCTTAATGCTGGTTTCTCGATTGATTGCAATATTTATATTAAATTTACAGTCGTTGAGGAAAGTCTTTCTGTTTTAGGGACCACTTTATGGTTGAATCTTAAAAGTCACCTAGCAAAATATTTTCAGACAAAATAAGGTAAGTTGGAACTCCTTTGTTGCTTTAATGTTGAAAATGTTTAAGGATTCGGAAATACTTTGCTATACTTTTCAATACTTTAGGCCAATAGTGAGAGGTAAAAATTATCATAACAAACTGTTTTATTTAAATGTGTTATGAAATTTAAAAACTCCACTCTAGCATAAGAGAATAACACTTCATATTTTCACAACAAACTTCCTTGTGTTGCCTTTGTTCAATAAATGTTGCCGTTCTGTATTCGATGTTCTTGAAAAATCCGAATTAAGTCATGTGGAAATTTCACAAAATTAACTACATCATATATCATTATTACAGTGGCGCAAGTCATTTAATTGCTTTAATAATGATGAAATAATAATGATATGTAATCATTATAAGTCTTGATGCGTTTAAGTTTTGGGTAGGTCGTACATAATAAAAGCTATGTAGGTCCAGGTTTTCCGTACTTCTTTTATTAATGCTCTGCCTTGTTCTTTTACAAGTATAAATATTGGGTGGTTCTGCTGCTTAATTTTTTAGTTTTTCTATCAAATATTATCTTATCTTAGTAACTGAATGTGTGTACGAATTCTCTGCAAAGCAATTCATGAAAGTTATCGTTGCATGTTTTTTTTGTGTGTGTTAGTAGTCTAAAACGGAACTAAACGAAAAAATAAGACTCACTAAAATGATAAAGAACAAATGATGGTAGTTACCAACAAGACGAAAGGCTCATATAAACCCGAAATTGATTATACATCCTTAAAAATGGCTCATTTTCATCAACCTAAATTTGATTTACTAAAACAAAACCTACGTAATAAAGTAACCTTAGCATCAGTTTGTTAAACCGATGTTATTAACGTCTACGTTCTGAAAACGGAAGTTTGGACCGCAGTGCAAATGTGCTTAAATAACATGATAATTGGGAACACTCATGGGTTCTTGCTTTTGTTTTTATATAAATTATTCCCCCAGAAACGGCCTTTTAGATTTAAAAAGAAAAATGGCAGCTGAGGGTACCCTTGAAACAATGACAGCTGATCCGTCAAGCGTATTTTACGACTATGAGCTGTATAAAGAAATGGACTATCAAAGTGTCGTTTTTGTTGTCATCTTCATCATTATCGGCATCACAGGAACTGTGGGTAACCTTCTCGTGATCCTTGCCATCGTCCTCTCTCGCAAGCTTAGATCGACCACCAACTGGTTTGTCATGAATCTTGCGTGTACAGATCTTCTGACATCATTCTTCGTTGTTTTGTATGCCGTAGCTTTATTAAGTCTGGATTTTGGTTCGCACTCGGATGGATTGTTTGCTGTTGCTGCTAGTGGTTCTCTGGTATGCGTTGGCGTAAGCCTTACGACCCATGCTTTCATTGGTTTCACCAGTTGGTACCTTATCACCAAGAATCATGTCGAATCCAAGAAGCTCTTCTCCAATCGGAACATCAGCATCATGATTGTGTTTTGTTGGCTGTTTACTTTCATAGGTGCCCCGGTAATCTACCTCACTGGAAGTCTCCATGAATATGCGGGCAGGTGTGTTTTGGGTTTGTTGATAATCGGACATTTTGGAGTTATTATAACCGTTTACACAAACATATGGAGATTTGTTGTGCAACGGGACAAGACCATGCGACAAAAAAGGAAATCTTCGGCGAAACCACAGAGTGAGAGCGAAACGTCTACCAGAACCAGTGAAAGAATCAACGTCAATCCAATAGAGAAACGCGCAGAAGATACTTTGCTGGCATCTCCATCTCTGGCCCATCCAGCTCACGATGAATGCCGAAGTTCTGACGGAACCAGCGAAAGAGCAGATGTCTGTCCACCAGAGACCCGTGGTAATGGCCCGTCTGCTCTGCGGACATCCCAATTACTGGAGGTGATAGGGAGTGAGGAAGACGAACGACCCTCCAGTGCGAGTCCAGCGGAAGTTGAGATACCCATACCTAGAAGTGATCGTGTGATGAATGATATATTCAAGAGCCGGACAAAACCTAAAGTTAGCCGAAAGACCATTGTTGTAACTAAAAATCTCTTGATAGTACTGGTGGCTTTCGTCATTTGCTTCATTCCCTATTCGGTCTGCTTGTATATCCCGACAGGGTCAAATGCAGAACCCTGGCTCATGCTCCTGCTTTTTTCGAACAGTTGCATAAATCCCATCATCTACGCCAGAAGGATCCGTGCATTTAGGGAGGTGATGGTGTGCATCTTACGATGTAGGATAGGAAGTATTCCCATGCCCATCGACTTGGTACGGCGAATGACGCAAAGGAACTAAAGCAACTTTCCTGAAAGATCTACATTGGTTGCCAGTACCGTTTCGTTTCTACCAGACAGTCTCTATCCCCGTCTTCAAAGCTCAAGAATACATCTCAGAATATTACATCCAAAGGGGCGTCTACGGTCATCTTCACAATGCCTACTCACCAGATGGGGCGTAAGAAACCTTTGGTTACAGAAAACCGGCTTGTGGAGGTCGCTAGAAACAGTCATTGTAAACCTTTTCAATCAATGTAAAAAGTAAAAATGCACTTGGAGGGTCTATACGACCATGGACGCGCAATAGAAGCTCATTTGGCTCTGCATTTTTTGCATTTTTGTATAACTGTTTTGTTTTGTTCATGTGTTTGGTAATTGGATGGAAATTTATAGATACTTTCACGTCTTTGATTGTTCTTTATAATCCAATTATTGTGGAACATTTCTTTTATTGTAAGTATGTTTAAACTGAAAATCAAACATGCTCTACACAAAGTCATGTCACAATTTTAAATTGTTTTATATCATGTTCGGAAATTAAACTATATATGAGGACAAAAATGAAATGATAGATTATTATAATCATTATATAAAAATAACATTAGGCTAGACAATGTCACATTGCATCATTGACCGCTGGCAACTCTTTTTCCATTCAGCTTCCGGAATGTACGATCTGGAACTTACCACTATGGCAAGTAACAACCATATCATGATCGCAAAGACTTTCGAAAAATCAAGTCTAAGGCAATTGTAATACCCTATTGTATATACAGAGATCATTTTAGGATAACGTTATATGTTTGCACATATCACTAGTTGATCATCATCCTCATGATCATCAAGTTTCATGTCTGTTACAGACATCGGCGGTCAAGGACCTCGATTGCTATCTTTTATATGCTATTCTCAAACGCTTGTATTGCTAAATATCATTTGTGGTTGCCCATTTGTTAAGACTTTGCAAATATATAATGTGTTGCTTTCCTACTCTACGCTTTCCAGCAATCCTACCGGTTAATATTGTTTTTACTAGATGATGTTTTCTTTATGATTATCTGACCAAGAATTATTAGCCTCTTTCTTACTGTTGAGAAGAGTGATAGTTTTACTTTTGCTTTTCAGAACACTTCTCCATTTTGTTTAATTCTTTCTGTCAATGATGATATATTCACAATATTTCTCAAGAAACAGGTCTATGTAGCCTTTAATCTTTCTAGCTCTTTGCTTATTTATTGTCCAACACTCACACTCGTAGAGACGAACTGACCAGATATATGACTTTAAGACAAGGATTTTGGTTTCATGGTACTGTTCTTATTTTTCATTACTGATTTCATGTTATTAACTGTATCCTGTGCCATTGCCATTGATTTCTTTATTTCATGAATAATTTTCCCATATAATCTTTTATACCTAGGATATGTAAAGGTGTGGACTTGCTTTTATTACCCCTTTATATTTGAGATTGCATGGGGGTGCGTCAGTCTTTATAAATATATTATCATACACGTTGGCTTTTTTGTTGTATAAATCCGAGCCTCTATTAATACTTTCATTTTAATTCTGCTGCTAAAATGGTATCATTTGCACAGCAAAGGTTGTTCATATTCTGACCTCCAACCTAAACACCTAAGTGATAGACAAGGCCATTACACCTTGTGTTAATTTGTTGAAAGTCTTTTGCGATCGATCGTACGTGGTTCATGTATCATGTGTAAAATACAAAGGTCTCTTGCCCGCTCTCAAGATGTCTGCCTTTTTATTATTTATTAAAATAACAAGGGCACATGAAATATGCAAATATAAATAATGGATTATGTTCTTTTACAGATAATACCGACTTTTTGTTTGGAGAAATATGTTAACAGATTTTGGCTCCACACTCAGCCACAGGACAATACATAAACATCGTGTAGATATTTCGATAAATTTCCTTTAAACTTGAAATAAAATAGAATTCTACCATTCAGAACTATGAATATAATCGTGTATACTTAAATACTTTTAACGCACGTAGGCCAAACAAACACAACAAAAACAAAGGAGTAGAAACAAGGAAGTACTGGCTCTAAGATACTTTTCCTTTCACTTTCAATACTGGAACACAAAATAATCTATGATCTCAGCGGAAATAGTTCTAGGTCAATAACTCTCGTGGAAAATAATGAGACCATTTCCTATTAAGGTTAACCTATTCGCACAACCCGAAAGAAGTGCTTGAAGACTTTGACATTTTGATTTGTTTTCCATTTAATTTCAGTTATTGTAAAACAATGTGAACATATATAAGCGCAAGTATTAGCTAATAACAACATTAGAATTATAATTATCTTTATTAGATGGTGGGATACATTACACAGCGTAATGCTTATTGGCAGGGTGCAAGTGTTTACAGAATAAAAGCAATGTACCGTATTACATAAATTCAAATATTGAAGATTTACACATCACTCACCAAAACACGTTGAGGTATATCGCGCACGTACACACACACACACACACACACGCACGCACACAAACACACGAATACACACCCACATATACACGCACACACACGCACACACACGCACAACTTACTCACACAGAATAGATGAATCGGTATCAGAAATAAGGAACTCAGCAATGAGAACTACTGTAGATATTTAATGCTATCGTTTTACAAATTTTAAGAGCAATAATATATTACTTTAACAAGAAATCTTAGTTTGACAACGTCAACCATTATGTGAAGACAAAAGCAGATCATGGGCAATTGTAGAACGTATAACGACATCGGAGAACTTTGCTTTCATACTAAACTAGCATTCTGGTAATGTAAGAAGGTGTAAATTGATTTTTGTTTTATTTACAAGCTAAGTTATAGCCTAGTATCCAGGCTAGTTTACCTGTTTAATTTGAAATTATCAAATACATTAAAATTAACATGAGCACAAAAATAATAAAGTAAAGAAAATGTATGCTATACATATTTTGCAAAGGCAAGTCGTGATGTAAATTTGAATTTCAGTAGAAATAAATGGACTTAAACAGAATTGGAAAAATGTGTCTACCTGTGTTTTTGTTATTCGATATAATTGCAAGACATCTAACATTTAAGTTAATGCAAAGAACAAAAGAGTAAAACATTACAGGATAGACCTGCATTTCATTTCCTTGTCCCACATTCTTTATTCAACTGAACATTGTCCCTCTTACAAAGGCGGCTCCAGAATTTGGATTTGGTCCAATTCCAATATACGATGATGACAAGCAAAAAGAAATGAATATACACACACAATCAAAGGAGTAGTGTCAGTCATAAAAAGAAGGCGAGGAGGGGGGGGGGGGGGAGGTCCATCCAATACAAAACAAACTTTGGTAATCAAAAGAGAGGAGTCGGACCCCATTGACCCCCTAATTCGACCCCCTGAATCAACCACCTGAAGACCATTTTTCGATTACTTTTACTTCCTTCACTTGGTTGTATAATGACTGATTACTGAAATTTTCATAGATTTCCATTCTCTTGGCTGTTGATAGAGGATTAAATCTATTTCATAAAACGGCTGTGTAAACAAGGAATGTGTAACTGTCAGTTGTTTTCAGGGTACATGTATAAATAAATATGATTTTGTTTAGATCACATGGAAATTCATGAATTATTTAGTAAAGAACAAATAGATTAGATCCTTGGGATGTAGAATTGTCGCGGATTTGCCAATTTACGTCTGATTGATCACAACTTTTAAAAATCATAATTGTCTTAGTTGCAAAGATGTTCATAGCTTTCTTCTTTCTAACGGATTTTCCTAAAGCATTCCGTTCCTTTAATTTTCCGCTTTTTGTAAAATTTCAAGATTCAAGTACCTCGACATCCGGTTGCATTTTACAGGATATTATCATATTTTCCATGGAAAACATGTTAAGTATGGTTTCCAGCTAATAACACATTAGTATTCTTATGGAGCATCTTAGCTTTCAGCAGTATCACTTTCACTTCGTAATTTGACTGACAACATTGCGAAGTTGGAAATCATTCATGAAAGATTGAGGACTGTGGCTGCTGGCAATTAGGGCATCTCGAGTCATTTGAGTTGGGTTGAACAACGAAAGAGTTAGATGTGACGATTATTATTTAAAAGGGTAAGTTCAATCTCTGTAGGGTACTTTGCAGCTTGGTTTATATATTAAGGAAATACCACCTTGTCTGTTTAATTTCAAGGATCCACTTAAGTTTTATTCACACCTGATAATTATTGGCTGCTTTCACTTAGAGAATGAGAAACAAGTGTAAACGCAGTGACCAACACTACTACTAGTCTAAACGCAGTAACCAACAACTGATGCAAGTCTAAACGCAGTAACCAACAACTGATACAAGTCTATTGTCACACCTTGACGATTTAGGCAGCGTATGCCCACATGTGAACAATGTTGCGAATACGCTGGCGTACGTCGAAGAAGTTATGGGTAATAGGGTTTCACACCGGGCCATACTAGAGTTGCGTAGTGTTGCGTACCGACAACGCCGAGCATACGCTGCCCTACGCTGAGGGACGCAAAGGGGTACGCAAAATTGCGCGTACTTTCGGCGTAGACACTAGACGCAGAAAGTACGCATTTTAACGCAACACTTCGCATCACTACGCAAACCTATTGCATTTTTGCACGGCGCTTAATCAGACATTAGTAGGCAACCGTATGCAACCGTAAGCAAACCAACGTACCATTTACGTTAGGGCTATGTAAATATACGCAACCCTTCGCCTGTTATACGCAATCTTAGGCGTAGTTATGCCAACTGCATACGCCGTAAATTCGTGGTGCCTATGCACAGGGTACGAAAACATTTTTTTTCATGAATACGCAGCCTAATTTCGGCGTACTCGGTACGCCACACTACGCAAACGTACGCAGATCCGGTGTGAAAGGGGCTACAATTTCTTGTATAAGTTTAGAGCACGCTGAAGCAAGCATATATACGTTGGTGTACGGCGAGGTCGTCGAAAAGTTTCGACGCATGCCAGCGAATGGCTCATACGTCCCGCATACGCGGGCTATAAGTTGTAGGTACGTAAGTTATGCGATCGTTGACAAACGTTCACATACGTTACATGTAAGTTAATAATAAGTGTATGTATGTAGAGGTATTTTACGTGTTCAGGACGACCACAGAACTTTTGCACAGTGTGAATGAGCCTATATTGATCATGCAACAAATCGTCCTTGTTTTCACGAAGTGACGGTAGTAAGGAAAATCGTAACGCAAAGTGAATGCAATTTTTTTTCACTACCGTCACTTCGTGAAAACAGCGACGAAATATAACAAAGAAATGGTTCCTCTCATGTTCTATACGGGAAAGAGTTTGCAGGCTTCAATATGATTTTAGTTAACGATGTGTTCAGATGTTATTTCTATAGTTGAAATGTATATTCGCTAACATAATCTATTTTTTGAGGTATCGTGGTCTAGTGGATTCGTCATCGGACTGTGGATCACATTATTCACGGTTCGAGTCTAGCTGGGGCACTCAAGTTCTTTGGCAAATTATTTGGCACGATAATAGCCACTCTCCACCCAGGTGTAGTAAATAAATAGCTGTTCTGAATGAATATATTCCATGAAAGCGTTCAGAGCCTTGGGGCAGCTGGGCTTACGCCAGGGTAATGACAGTACTTTGTAAGTGCCTTGGGCATTCCTTGAGATGGATACGGGCTTAATATAAATGTAACTATCATTATTAACGATGTGTTTTTTTTTTTTGCTTTTGTAGATTCCTTCAGACACGTTTACTACCTGAGATCTAGAGATGGCAGAATTGAGCACCATTTCCATTTTCACATCGACTCCACCAAGTGGCAGTTCTTCCAACTATTACCTTTATAAAGACTTGGACCTGCCACAGCGTGTCATTCTAGCAATAATGCTCCTTATCACAAGCTTCACCGGAATCATCGGAAACTCCATCGTGATCCTCGCCATTGTTCTCTCTCGCAAGCTCAGGTCAACCCTCAACTGGTTTGTCCTGAACCTTGCATGTGCCGATCTGTTGACGTCTCTCTACTTGCCCTTCCATGTCGTAGACTTGCTCGGACGGATGGGATGGGTCCAACTGAACTGGTTTCAGCTAGGCTGGCCATACGTGGCCTGGTTTTACGTCAATAAGACCTGCGTTGGGGTTAGCCTTACAACCCACGCCTTAATCGGCTTCACCAGTTGGTATCGAATCACAAGAAACCAAGAAAAATTCAAGAAACTTTACCAGGCTCGAAATTTATGCCTCATGATTGCATTCACGTGGGTGTTTAACTTCTCCTCGCTCTGCTTAATTGCCAGACTAGACGAGGAAAAAATTGTCTTTGCCATAGCCTTTTGGGTCTTCGGGCATTTTGCAATTGTTGTCACTGTGTACTTAAAACTATGGAGATTCATTGCACACCAAGCGGAAAAGATAAAGCCAACGAAGAAAGTCGACGGAAAGATACAGAATGAAATGTGCATGGACACCATATGCCCCAATGGAAACAAAGATATCCAACAAGGTGGTTTGGTCATTGAGAATACTGTTTTGAGGGCATCTCATTCGTCCGAGCATTTAGAAAGCCAGGACTGCGACATATCAAAAGGTGAAAGACTAAAATCAGGTCAGCCTGAGACCCATATGCATGATGCGGAGACTTTGACCGTATCCTCATCTCTAGAAGAGATAGAAAGCACAGTTGGCGGATCTGATCTAAAAGCGAAAGTACCACGACGTGTCGAGGGATCGGAAACCAAATTGCATGTCAAGAAACAGTCAGAACCTAAAATTGACAAGAAGCTTCTTGCTGTCACCAAGATTCTGTTGGTAATTCTCGTTGCCTTTGTCATCTGCTTCATTCCTTATGCTGTAAGCCTATGTTTACCGAAATCTTATAGTGCACTTCCCTGGCTTTTGGCCCTTCTATTGTCAAATAGCTGTATTAATCCCATCATCTACGCCAGAAGGATTCGTGCCTTTAGAGAGGTGATGATATGCATCATAAGATGTAGGCTCGGAAGCATTCCCATGCCCATCGACTTGGTAAGGAAAATGAGAACCACTCGCTGAAACTTGCAACCCCCCAGTGAAACTTAAAGCAATGACTATCATAGCGTGGACAAATTCCTTAAAATTATCCGCGGACAATTAAGACTCGGATCATTTAACCATATACAAATATAAGGCGGACAAGTTTCCTAAAATTTCCTCGCGGACAATTGAAAACTGGAGGCTTTGACCATGGACAAAAAAAAAATCCGATGCAAGGACAGTTAAATATCATGAGCAGCTATTCCAGATTGCTGACTGTCTTGAAGCAATTGTAATTAATCGATTGCTTGGAACATCCCGCAGTGTGTACCAAAGCATGTAAATTGAAGGTGTCGTAGTATGGTGATTCATTCAGCAGTCCAAAGGTTCAGGGTCCGAATCTCAGCGCTACCAATTACACTCTCCACCCGGGTGTTATTGGGTACCTTGTAATTAATATTAATAATAATAATAGGCATTTGTATTGCGCCGTCTACCTAGACAATACTATTCCGTGGCGCACAAGAAAAATAGAAAGAATGAGAAAGTTAGGACGAAAAAGTTCGGATGAGTGTCATAGTGCCAAGTACATGTATTGTTAAAAAAAGATAAGATTTCAGCTTGGTCACTAAGGAAGTTATGATTCTCAAGTAAATTGGTAAATTATTCCAAAGACAAAGTGCTGCAGATGAAAAGCTCTTTCACCACAGGCCCCTCGTGTCTTTGGGATCTTAAGAAGATGATGGTGTGATGATCTTAGACTACGAGCTGGTGTATAAGGCCTTACAAGGTTTTGTAAATAGTTTGGTGCTAATCCGTTAACAGCCTTCCATGTGAGGAAAAGGATTTTGAATTCTTTGCGCTTGCGGATTGGCAATCAGTGCAGCTTTTGCTTGGGTTAATAGTAGCGGTAGGAAAAAAGCGGTATTACTAATAATGTGCCTCTGTACTATCAATTTGAATTAGTATGTTATCTTAATTTTATTTGTGATCTTAGAACTAGACATTAATGTTTTGTACAGATACTGTATAAGTAAATATGTACGCATCAACAATGTCAATGAACAAAAATGATTGTAGTTCGTGTGCTGAATAATAATTCATTTTCACAAACTTTCATCTCATATTATCGAATGCAAAAAGAGATGATAAAACATATAATACTATATAACTGTAAAAGGGCTAATGAACAATTTGCGAAATGAGATTGTGATAAGAAGTTGAAACACCACTACAGAGAGATAGTTGTGTATTTGAGTATATACTATAGTATAATGGTTGGTTATCAGTTTGTTTTTTAAATTGACTTATAGGAAAGCATAGACATGCTTGTAAGTAGGCTACCAGAGACCGATGCATCGGCTGTAAGTCATACGAGGGCGCCGTATAGCTGTCGCCAGTTGAGTCTTGTGGTGTGAACAACCTTACCTTATTTTCACTATTTCCTGCAAATCTCTTCTGAAGATTTTTGGACTATTTATTATTTAACCTCTTCGGACAATTTATAGCAAGTTATGGATCTATTTCGAAACATCGTTTTCGTGCATTTTTAGAGTTTGTATTTATTCAACTGTTATATTCTTCCAATCATACCATAAAACTTTTATTTTCCACCTCCATTACCAACTTCCGTTATCCCACCATCAATATTCTTTGACCTAAGGTGTACCTATAATTGTTTGTTATAAATGTACTATTTTTAATGACTTTTTAAAACTATTGTATTTTGTGCAGTATCCTTGTGTTATTACTAATGTAAATTGCACTCAATTCAGCCGAAAGGCTGCCATGTACAATGTTTTTTATACCACAATAAATATAAATAAATAAATGAAATATTATGGTTGGTTATCAGTTTTTTTGTTTAACTTGACTTCTAAGAAAGCATGGGCATGATTGTAAGTAAGCTCCCAGAGACCGATGCTGCGGCTGTAAGTCCTCTCAGAAGGCCTCGGTACTGATTGCTGCCCTTAAAATACATTAAATGCATACATTAAAATACGTTATTAAACGGGTTTAAAGATTAGGGTACAGGAAGGAAAGACCTCGCAAAGTAAGAAGTTTGTGTTGGGGATACTTGAACAATGTCCATAATACATATATATATATATATATATATATGGCAGTGATAACGAAATGTTGGAATAGAGGAATAAGAAAGAGCAAGAAAGAGAATGAGAGAGTGGTGGTGAGAGAGAAGGAGAGGGTACGAGAGGGGGAGAAAGCGAGATTGTATACCTGTATATATATATATAGAGAGAGAGAGAGAGAGAGAGAGAAAGAGGTGATGGTAGTGAAGAAAAAGAACATTTTACTACCATATTCAACTTCTATGCATACTGTTTAAAGAAAAATTGTTCCGAAAGCCTTACCAAGGCTTGTCCGACATAGCAACAAGTAACGTGTGTAGAATGGATTCCAAGTAATGTAGGTCAATGAACGGTAAATTGAATACCTCGTCACTAGGTCCCCAGTAACGAAATATCCATACATTTGAATATGTTAATACACCGGTCTTTCGAACTACTACAAGGATTGGGAAGGGGCAGTCAACCTGCCTGTTGAGAAGCATAGTATTATGAAGTACAAATACATATGAAAACCCTAACACATAGCCCTATGTTGAGGGGGGGGCATAATATACGCATTTAGTGTAATACTAAATGTCATCCAGTTAAGTGTTTAGGATAATTTATTTTGTCTATCTCGGTTCTACATATTCGGAAATTGACGTGTGAAACAAATTAAGACAGAAAAGCTCATTCCCTTTGTACCATCTTCGATGCCGCCAGAAGAAAATATGTCAGGCATGTGCTTAACTGGATCTGTCTTGCAGATATGTAGACAAAATGTTCCTGCCTAGCTGCAAACTACCGGGCCACTTATAAAGGTAAATATGGTTTTGTAATGATAATTATTTTTCGCTACCCCTCGTCTGTAGTACACAGTGCTTTACCTTTACAAGAGGCAAGCGAAAGGAAATGGAGCAATTTTTCCTGAAACATTAATCAAAATTACTCGATTGGGCATGTGTGGGCACTAATCGGACATATAACATCATAAAGAACTGTATAAGAACGCATTCACTCTTTATTTTCGTGAGCCGGAAGTAACCGTAAAAGTGTCAAATTGCAGGTTTTAGTTTTTTTTTAAACTGAGATAATATAACAAGATGACACGGAATAATAGAAATGTGTCTCAATAATACATCTGTGCAATGAGTCCAAGCAATCGCCGTCTACAACCATACAATTTCAGCAAGCCTGGAGATTATAAGTAGTGTGTATTTGTTTAATTGGGATTTGTACAGTCGTGTATCAATTAGATATGATTATTTACGTCTGTGGACCGACTTTTATCCATCCGAAAAACGTGACTCAGTTTCTAACCGGGTCGCCTGAGCCAGTTTGTCGTCGAAGACTAGAGATCTGTCCAAGTAAACGTGCCGCTAGAACAACTCACGTTTCCCTTTCACGTTTAACGTTACTAGAGTTTGTAGCAGACCAAATATGAATTTAAGAAAAAAGACCTGATGTAATTATGTTCATAACTCTGATGAACATACTGATGCATGAGGAACCGAAGGACCAAATACCCTCTTTACTTGCTCATCTCTAAAGGGGGTTTCCTTAATCATTCTAAGAGGAATTATATAAGTCTAATATCTGCGCAGTTCTCGAAAGGAAATACAAAGGAAATTGAATTCACTTTTGAAACAAAGGTGCCCTGAGTGAAATGTGAACCACAACTGAAGAAGGAAATATAATTACAATTAATACAACAAATGACTTGCTAGAAAACTAAAGAATTTGTTAAAGCTACAATGACTACATGATATCAGAATTAAAGTGGAAGTTTTAGCTCTAGATATTTCTGATTCTAAATCTCAACAATTTTGGGCTACCCCCCTCCCCCCCCCCCCCAAAAAAAGAAGAAGATATATATATATATTTAAACTTATTTTTGTCTTCAAATTTAAAACTATTGGGAGAATTGAAAATAACAAACTTCCGCCTAAACCCTCCTTCAAAGTGAGGTCCCGACAATGCTCTGTACCATTTACACCTTAACCTTTCTTTCTGCGTACTACCCTTTTGTTGAAATGTGCTTATTTGAACTTTTATGAACTGAGGATGCTGCACCCTGTCTCTCTCTCTCTCTCTCTCTCTTTCTCTTTCTTTTTTGTAATACTTTTTTCTCCTTCTTTTTATTCCTTGTAGATCTTATGCTCTTCCTTTTCTCCTCTAGCTCGCTCTGTCTTTCTTACTCTCTCTTTCTCATCATCATTCCTGTTCTTTCACTTTTCCCCTTCTCCTTCTTTTTTTTCTATCATATTCTCTTTCCATTTCACTCTCTGTCCTTCCACTATTAACGAGTTTAAAACTCGTTATTTTTGGTCCGTTTTTCATTCTTGAAAACAAGTTTGATTTGTTTCCTAAAAGGGGACGGCTATGGCTTCACAAGCTTTGCTTCTCAAATTTTTCTCAAACTAATAATAATAATAATATAATAATAATAATAGCCTAATAGTCCACTCCAAATTTTATTAAACCGAAACGGAAATTCTTTTTGCCCAATTGATCGTGAGCCCGGCAGCCACTGAGCAGCGCCAGATCGACGTTGCTCTATCCCTTATTGTTGAACGCCAAACAAGGTAGCAACAACTCCCATTATTTAACGTCTTTTGGTATGACGCGGCCGGGGTTCGAACCCAAGACCTCCCGGTTGTGAGGCGGACGCTCCACTGACTGAGCCAACACTCCGGTGTGGTTAAGAATGATTATATTTTTTCCAATTCTTTGATAATGATGCAACGTACAATGTCCACTAAAAAAGTATGTACATCATTTAACAATTGCAACATTATTGTTGTACAGATTTTGGAAATGCACTGCTTTTTTTTTTTTTTTTTTTTTATTGTATGTAATTTTATATATGTAATATGAGAAAGTGGCAATAAATTTGGCCCAATGAACCATAAACCACATATTTCGGTCAAATAACCCGGATCTTGTATCAATTTCCGAAATGATAACCTGAAAGATATCCTTTTCCCCCGGATATCATGATAGCGCATTCTCGATTCAAGGTGTGTTAGCTTTCCGGATATTTGTAATGGCAAGGAGAGAATTGTGTCGGACCATTATTGAGCATAATTTTCCTTCCTCCACAAGTTGAGTTGGCAGATCCTCGTGAAACATCAATTTCAAGGTTTACCGCGTCGCTCTGTTGCAGGTTTAGATTGGCTGAACCGACTACTAGGTCTGCAAGGCGGCAAGGAATATTTCTTTAGTTTTAATAATCAACGGTAAGTAAGAGATATAAGATGAGACGAGGCTACTTTGATAATAGACTTATTATTTGTTGTCAGTGACGTATCTATGGATTATTGCGACTGAAACTGACTACATTAAGCCCCCCTCTACAAGTACAAGCTTTATACATTTTCCGTATTGAACCCCTCCAAAAAAGTATAGTTTTATTAATGCACTTTATGGTGTGTATGTGGGGCGCATAAGTATAAACCTTGAGATTCATGATTTCTACCCCTTCCCCCTTCCTTTGCTTTTCAGGCGCCTCCTCTTTATTTGCGTTTGCGCCCCTTCAAGTGTCGCCCCGCCGGAGGACTAATTTTTTTCCCACTTGAGTTCCGGACCTTAGTATGTACTCATTTGTATACGGCCAATCAGAGCTCTTCTCTGTCCCTGCTTCCGATCGATGCACCACTGACAGTTGTGCAATTTATCATTCTATCGTTAAATTTTCCCCTTTTTTTCTTGGAATGGTAATGAAGAGAATGACATTTCGCCTGTGAATGGACATTTAAGGAAATGTAATTGATTCTTTTAACTTTAAAACCGAATTAATATGCAATGAAATTAGTTTTATACATTTTTTCTTCAAAAAAGAAAAGTTTCGAATAATTAATGTTAGAAATAACGTAAGGAAAATGAATTATAACTCTACCATCTACACGGAATTGCTAAACGTACAGCTCAGAGTTTTACTGCTGATGATTTCCAAAATTAAAATATGGTTTCATGTTGATGATTAAATTTTGAATGACATTTACTGTCCTTGCAGATATATACCTTCAACGATTCATCTTATCAAGAAAAGAAATGGCGGACAAAAGCACCCTTATGATGTTAACCTATACCCAACCAACCGTCAGTCTTCCCGATGATGATTTTAATGACAACACGGACTACTCCGAAAGAATCATCTTTTCAATCGTCTTCATCGTCATCAGCATCACTGGAATCGTTGGAAATACTCTCGTGATCCTAGCCATCGTTCTCTCTCGCAAACTGAGATCGACCACCAACTGGTTCGTCTTGAATCTCGCATGCGTTGACTTGTTGACTTGTGTCTTCTTGATCTTCTACGTCGTTGCTGTGCTAAGGCTGGAAGTCCTGTCCTACACGGGTTGGTTGTTAGCTTGGGCAGTCGGTATCACTTTTACCTCCATGTTGAGCCTTACCACCCATGCACTCATTGGCTTCACTAGTTGGTACCTCATCATCAAGAACTATGCAAAAGCTAAGAAGCTCTTCACAACTCGGAATATCTCCATCATGGTTGCCTTTTCATGGCTTATCACCATCATCCTTTGCATCGTTCTTTTCCTGACTGGAGCATTCTCTGAATACGCGGCCCATTTTGTCACAGGCATTTGGATCGTTGGGCATTTCGCGTTTATTTTGACTGTCTACATACAGATTTGGAGATTTGTAGCGCAGCAAGAGAAGGAAATGGCGTCCAAAAGAGGATTTGGTGCAAAGGCGCAGAGTGAAACTGAGATGACTACCACCAACGCCTGCGAAAAATCCGTTGCCAGTGATCCAGATCGTACGATCAGGGATGCTACCCTCAAACCAACACCCCTTTCAGCAGAGTGTGTATCAGTTGAGGAATGCGGGCAATCTTCCTCTCATCCTACAAGTCCAGCTGATGTGTCACCACGAGAAGGAAAGGCGACAACATTCCAAAAACAGACAGCGCCTAAGCTTAATCGTAAGACGATAACTGTTACCAAGAATCTCTTAGTGATTCTCATTGCTTTCACCGTCTGCTTCATTCCTTATTCCATTTGTATGTTCATTCCGGACGACTCTCTGGTGGAGCATTGGCTCTTGGTCCTACTGTTTTCTAACAGCTGCATCAATCCCATCATTTATGCGAGAAGGATTCGTATTTTTAGGGAGGTGATGGTATGCATCATACGATGTAGGCTTGGAACCATCCCCATGCCAATCACGTTTCTTCGGAGAATGAGATAGACATGATAGAGTGTTTAATAAACGGATTGGATTCCCCAAGACTGACCACTTGAACCTGATACTTTTCCCCATGCCTCTCCCCAGGAACTTTGCCGACCATATTAATTAATTCACATCAACGTTTAACCTAAGGATAGCAGAAGATATCTGGACGCCGTTTAATAAAACTTATGATAAGTTACAATAGCATCCACTCATCTTCATGTAAATTATATGCATGCATTTTTTTATAACTTGCAACCAATAAAATACAATGATCTCTTAATTTCAGTAAATGTTATAGTTTTTATAAATACGTGTACTATCAGAGGCGTAATCATCCTTTGAATTTTCCTGGAGGAAAGTTGTAAGAGTATCCTGTTCAGGGCTTGGAAGAAACCGTATATCATCCAGATTTATATGCATCTGTCGGAAGTTGGAAATTTGTGAAAGTCTTTATTTTATGTTTAAGTTTAAGGCAAATTTATATTCTGCTTCCAATTAAGTGTTAAGGATCGAGGTTAGATCTGATGTTTTTTCACTTGGAAAATTCCTTTTCCATAGGATAATGTGACCTGCATAGCTGAGTCAGGTGTTTATTTCAGTCGTACGCTAGATTGCGTAATGACATTAGGCCAAGTGGCAGTGACATTCCTTTTTTATTGTATGCATGAATTAGTCCGTATGTTAACGTACGTACGTACGCGGCATGGGCGAGTAGCTCTATCTTGGGTGTGGTTAGCTCAGACACCAATTGAGCATCCACATGCAGGGACGTGTTCTAAGTCGGGCAAGACTCTTGTTTTGGAGACCCTTCGGGTATGTGAATTTATACTTGTAAATGCATTTTAATCTTAATTGAGACATTAAGAAGTTACTTAGGATTCGGAACAGAGTTTGTATAGTAGTTTGCATTCGGTTAATTGGAGTGCATGGATGAATTTTTGCCACAATTTCTATGTCATGTGTAAACGTTTATGAAACGTCTTTCGATGTAACGAGTTCGAAGCTATCAGTGAAATTGCAAATGATATTTGTTGAGATTGAAAATAGACAGTAAAATCACTGTTGTATTTGCTTTGTTAATTATTGCATGTTTAATAATAACAAGTGCAGAAACTTGCTTGTTTTTAGTAGTTGAACAGAATTATCAACTCAGCTAATTTTTGTAGTTATGAACGTAGAGGGCAGCATTTTGTATCCAAAGATGGCGGCGCCCATGATTCGTAGATACCGACTTATGGTATGAGATAATGCTTTACCATATTTTGTAAATGCTTTCAAATAATATTATAAAGGATGATTTATCCAGTGAATGAATTGATTCTTTATCAGAGGGTTTGATAAGATAATGCATTTCATGGAGTGTAACTTTATTGTCTTATATCTGGTTGATGATTAAGATGCTCTGATGATTAAGATGTTTTGATGATTAAGATGCTTTGAATATTTACATAAACATTATTTGAATATGAGGAATCTCTAACTAAAGTATTAGACACACATATATTGTTTGTAACAATTATGATTATTCGATGACTAGAAGTCTGTTTGGTTTTTATACAATACATGCATATTGAATATGTATGTGAACGATGACATTGAACTATTTGAATCTGTAATGTGGTACAAGTGATTTATCACTGGCTTTTTCTGTATCTTTACAGGGTTTTTTGTTTACGGCACAGAATAAACTTCAATGCCCTTATATCTGCTGTCCTGTCTCATCATTGATACTACCGGTCCCTAGCAAGGTCCAACCCCCACCCACGACACATCCATACAACGACTACATATCCACTTTCGGATTACCTTTATCAATATGCTTTGAAAAGTAGTAGCAGGTACAATGTAAACATGGTATTTTTTTATCTTTCACTGTATGTCAAGATTTAGTTATTATTACTATTAACATTAACATGTAGAAAGAGGTCATGGACTGAAATTATATGTTTAATGATGGCGATACAATGTGTCATCATTAATTGGTACACAAATATTTTTTCCCTATCTGTATTAGTAGCATGTTCAGCCTTTAAAAGATCAGACTCTCATTGTCGCACTCGAAATGCACGTTTGCGTGTGTTCGTGTGTATGTTTGTGTGTGCATGAACATGTGTCGTTTGTTTGTTATGAAGAAATATTATTATCATGGATAATTTCTTAGCTGCATGATGTACACAATCATGACTGATCTTCGTCAATGTTTTCCTGAAAACATCTTCAGTGGCATATCCAAACCTTGGCCTCAGGAGGGGCAACACATTTCCAACTGTCATCCATATACCTTCAGTAAGGAAGGTCCTGGTCTGCGTTACCGGGGGGCGGGGCATCACCCCCAAATGACTTAACTGAGGAAGAAATAGTTACTCTGTATCATGCCTACACCTCATGCGTATTTTGGCTTAATAAAGTAAATCATAACCTATTTGCTACCAGGCTTTTTCTTGGTCGGAAACCTGTCAGGAGGGGCGAATCGCCCCCTTGCCCCTCCTTCATACATACGCTAGTGAACAACTCCAACTCCTGCTGGTCCCGGATATGAGTAGGATATGAGTGTATCAGAAATGAAAATGAAGAATTTTTTAGCTTTGTTAGTTTGTTGTCAGATCTGAAGAGATATTTGTTATGAGGAAGGATGTCGATCACAAACGAAAAGGAACTGTAAGGTTCCAATTACTAATACTTCACCTGATGTAAAGAGGATTTGTATATTAAAAATTCTTATTTCTTTTATAGCTAAATCCTTTTTCTTTTTATCCTGGGGCGGAGGGGGTGCATTTTCATTTTTTTGTGTAAAAAAGGTAAAATAAACGTTACTATCAATTTTTTACCCGTTCTTTTGCCAGAGGGGTCCCCCCATGGATCTGCCCCTGGGTAGATGGAATACTTGCATTAAAGAAGTAGGCAGCGAGATTGATTCAGGATAATCAAAGCAATAAAATAAAAATTAAAGTAGCAACAAATACATGAGAGAGAGAGAGAGAGAGAGCGAACAGGAGGTAGAGGGAATACTTGTTGAGTTTATCATTGAAGAAGTAGGCTGCAAGATTGATTCTGGAAATGAAGTAGAACGATTAAATAAATAGATTTTTTCGTTTTTTATCAGACAATCTGACAAAGGGGAAGACAAGATTGGATGTGTGTGTGTTTGTGTGTGTGCTTGTGAGTGCGTGTGTGTTTGTGTGAGGATGTGTGTCAGAAAGAAACAGAGAGGGATATGTAGAAAGGGATCAGATTGAGAGATTGCTTCGGTATGTGAATCTGAGATATAAAGCGATCCTCAAAAAGGGGGCATGCTTGGAAAGTCTCAAAACAATTATATTACAAAAGCATCTCATCGTTTGGTGTCAGTTAAAAGACGACACTCTCTGCTACCCGTAGAAACCAATAAATCAAATTAAATCAAATCAAAAGGGCATGGTAAAATCGAATGTAAATTTGAAGAAAGAAAAAAAAAGCGAAAAAGGCTGTATCATTGTCGTTCTCGTTGTCATAATTCAGATCTTTCCCTAAAGCATAGTTTAAACAAAAATGCCTTTAAGAATGCTAAATAAATGACAGATGCGACGTCGAAATGTACTCTCCATATGCATCATTGAGTATCAACAAAGCCTCAACGAATAATGGTAGGGCGTCCTCTCTAGTTGGGTCCAGCTCCATTCCGAGCCAATCCAATGTTATTCAGGATGGTCACCACTCTTGGTTTCCCCAGCCCCGTAGTGCGTTGAGCCTCTATGGTAGGGACTTTTAGATTGAGTGGACGAGAACGGCGTGAACGTCTACTGATCATGCGTGTCCATGTCATTTCGTTATAATATGTATTCCTATTTCTTGATATCGATAATTGGATTCTTGATATTAAGAAATGATTTTCTGTTGTAAAGCAATGGTAATGCGGATTTTTTGTTGGTCCTGCTTAGTCGATACTTCACGTCTGCCCCCCCCCCCTATTGAATGATCCTGGCTACGCCTGTGATCTGGAGGAAACTTCTAAAATTACGAATGAAGACATGTGTTAATAAATTAAATTGCCACCGCTTTATAGACTACAAAGTAGGTATTTATTTTTCACTTGTTTACAAACAAAGGTCAAAATATTTCCGTGTGTCAGTAATTAATTGAGAACAAAACAGTAGCCCTGTGAGTCGCATCTGACTTCGAGAGCCCCTCTTGCAACAATTAGAGAGATGAATTATTCATGACACTAAATAATGGCAAAAAGGTTTTCAGACGGAAATGACCCGTATGATGAAAGATGATTGTTCTGAATTATTTACTGATTTATTATATTTATGGTTTGTTCAAAAATGAAAATCTGATATAATTTTTAAGTGTGCAGTTCAGCACACTGCTAGGATTTTCAGCAATTTATTTACTGCATCAGATGAAGTTTTTACAATCAGCGGCTATTTCATCAACTAAAATAGCTTGAATTAAAATGTCAAGCTCTACAAAATAGCTTTCCTTGTTTATTAGCTTCAAATACAAAAATCATATCTCCAAACATTCATTTATTTAAATCATATAACACCGATTTAAAAAATTTAGGGTTATGTCATATCCATTACTTTAGCATCATGTCTTAGATGTTATGCTAAATCACACGACGGGTCTGATACTACACCGGAAATAGATCATAGAATGTCATTATTTGGATAGCCGGTACAATTGGAATACGTCCAATTCAGCTCGCACTTTAAGATGTTTTCCTTTTCATTCGGTAGTGATAAACTCTCAAACCGGATTTAAAATCCAGTGCTTAACAAAAAACCTTCCTCTGCACCTTTCACAATATTATACACAGTGACGTAGCTACATGGGGCGGGGGGGGGGGGGGGTTGATACGCACCTTCCACTTCATCGATCGGTGTAAATAAATACAAACATGGGGGGGGGGAGAGAAATGGAAAAAGATATGGGAGAAAAGGCCGATTAAAGAATATGATAAGACACCCTCCGGCACCCATCATCAGTATCTTTTTAATTCCCAGTTCTATGTTTGAGTTTGACCAGTGCCTCCATTTTATGTTGTCGGTTTTCCGCTGCTATCATATTACAGGCAGAGGGAGACAGACACACACACACACACACACACACACACACACACACACATAGATATATAGTGCATGTACGCACCAAGTGCATGCTACTATAAAACTTTAAATGAAGAACGTTATCACTAATTTAACGTTTTCAAAAACATACGTATATAAACCCAGAATGTGAGATTTGTTGAAATAGGTTCTAGGACAATTTTCCCTGGACAATTACCCCGGCCAATTACTAGTGGGACAATCACCCCCTGGAAAATTGCCCCTGGAAACACCCCTCCCCCGAATACAATAACCCCATTGGACAATCACCCTCCCCCCCCCCCCCCTTTGGAAAATCAACCCCCCGCCCCAAAATAATTGCCCCCCCCCCCCCCCCGAAAATTGAAACCCAACTTATTATCAGGGAGGGTAATTTTCCGGTGTTTGTCCTTGGGAGTAATTTTGCGGGGGCCCTTTGCGGGGGTGTTTGTCCAGGGGGTAATTGTCCTGATACGGTTGAAATGACATAGCAATGATGTTGTTGACAAAACATTCATATTTGATTTTTAAAAAAGTTTAATTTCCTCCCAACTGCTCCAACTCGAACGGACGCCCCAAGCGACCGTACACGCGTCACGGTAATAATGACAACACCAAATACAAAACACTAAATATATAGACCATATTGCAAAAAGTACAGGAAAGCAAAATTATCAACTATACAAAACACACTAATTTTTAATTTGTAGACATTGGTTGTAAATTCTGTTTTTCTATACGTACCGGTTTATTCGATTTCAGATTTCTTTGAAATATATCATGCTATCATGACATGCATGTCTAGCCCTGTACTTTCATGGTCCTTTTTGAAGATGGGAATAATTATAAGAATATGACCTTCAAAACCTCAATGTTAACTGTATGGTGCATTGCTATTCAACAAGTGAAAGGCGAATTTCTGGTTCTTGTACAATTACCCCGTGGGAAATTGCCCCCCCCCCCCCCAAAAAAAAAAAAAAAAAAAAAAACATTAAAAAAGAAAAAAAAACATTACCCTTATAATCAGGGCGGACTTTCCCTTTGATGATCAAGTTGGGTAATTTTCCAGGGGAGGTAGTTGTCCTCGGAGTAGGTTGCCCTTGCTTGTTCTCGCGAGAGGGGGGGGGGCGGTATTTATCCTAGGGAATGATTTTCCGGGGGAGGGTATTGTCCTTGAGGGGAGGGGTTTGTTTTCCGGGGGTAGTTTTCAGGGGGTGATTGTCCAAGGGGTATTTGTCGTGATCCGCTAATATTTAAATAATTTTTTATACAAGTAAGTTGTGCAGTGTTTACACAAATCCAATGTATTATCTGTTTGTGTGTGTTTCAAAGTTTTTACTTCATCAGATGTTTGTACAAGCTCCATGACCAAGACTTTCATGTTCTTGACAAACAACACGACACAATGTCTGAAATATTGATAATGATGAGTTATTGAAAGCACCTTCTACACGGTCAAGAAACGACGACATCTTTCATTTCAAGGGAAATACTTCATAGATTACCTTTTTGCGACCTTGCAATCAAAATGTGACCATGGCGAAGTAGTAGCGAGTAAAAATGGTCTAAATAATACAAATTTATATTTAATAAATATGTAATAGCGCACTCACCTCGCAACATACTCAAGGCGCCCCGACCACAATCATGACTCTAGCTAGTTTACCGATTTCGGTACTCAATGCATTTAGGGAATTTATTCCCACTGGTACCCAACATATCGCAAAGGCCAGAAACATCCGTTTGTAAAAATCTTACCTGATTGTGAATGAGCATGCCAAGAACTTGTACAAAAATGCTAAGTTAAAGATAAACTCCAGTACTGGTAAAAAAAAAAAAAATTCTCACAGAATCAAACGAAACTTACACTGAATGTTCAAGATTACAAATAAATGACATGTGCCAAACAATTTTGAAAGAAAATGTATACTGGCTGAGTAATGAGCATAGAAAGACAAGGAAATCAAGGTAGTACTAGCCCCGACACCATGTGTGTTGTCCCATATATAGCTTTCTATGTGAGTTCTTGTTACTTTACCAAGACTCGGTCAAATTTATTATGATTTTGATGACTCCAGAACCTTGCAGTGCACACCAATACTTACATGCTACATGATCAACTGTTTCTGATCCTTTCCACACCTTTTCTTTCACAATGCAATCGCATTACCAGTACTAAAGTTTATCTTTAATTCTAAACAAAGATTTACAAATACACCTCAAAATATTAGAACATATGACTTACCCTCCGGAAATTAAAATTGTCACAAGATTCATCAAAATAATTGCATGATAATCAGCAATATCAACAATAGGCGGAAATGAAGATTTACTCATACATTACTCTCAACTTTTGTTTTACTTTATATAAAGAATGAAATGATAACCTGGACATTTGTTTTAGAAGTAAAACGTGTTTTTACAATACAAATTCATTACATTTAAATGATTTCCTTTTTATCATTCATCCATTCAATAATCAAATAGTATAATACAATAATGTAAAATGATGTAAAAAGTTATACACCTGTAATATACAGTTTTGGACATATAAATGATTTTCGATTTCTAAATAGCGAACAATAGTCCTGCAATAAACCATGTGCCATATTCTGAAAAAAGATAGCATATGTCATATAAGGAAAACAGATGTTAATTTTCGTAACAAACTCAAATTTCATGGGACTAAGATTTACCATTGGTGCTTGCAGATATATATTTTAAGTTTACGCGAACACAGCCAGCTTTGCGCAAATATTAACCGATGACTAGTCCTAATTTAGTTTTGTTATGATAATTAACATCGTTTTACAAAAATAACATATAACATCGTTTTCAGAATACCAACCCAGACTATCAAACATGACGCCTTGGTGGATATCTTAAACTTTATTATCTTTAGCGTATGTGAAGGAGGAACAATGGGAATAATTTACCTTTCCTGAAAGATTTCCCATGAAGAATGAAATAACAGGAGAGCAAATTATTTATTTGCTATGGTAAGCATTGCTTTTGGAAAGAGCATGAAAGATAGACACGTTAGAAAATATTAACACCTCAATGCTCATAACTTAAAAAGTAATATTTAGCATTTCTTTGGGAGGGAGGCACCCCGATCTGTCTGTAAGCTCTGGTGGTTTGTCATCCCCGGAGACAGAGTGTGGATACGCCACTGTTAATTTTCACTTGCAATCATGCCCATAAATAAATAAAATAGAATGAAAAGAATAGCCCGAATCTAAAAAAAAAATCAACAAGTCAACTTCAGGGAAACTTTGAGTGGCCTATTGACAGGTGTGAATATACAAATGACATAATCCAAATGTGATTTTCATGGGTGATAACATCGATTGATTGGTGAAAATCATTGCACTCGTGCAAATAACGTTTTGTAAAAAATACTTAGTAATTGTTTGTGTTTACATATTCCATCGATTCCATGGGCAGGGAAATTCACAAAGCAGAGATGACATGATAAAGAGAGAAGTGAAAAATCTGCCTGTTATGACCACAGTTTCTGTCTCCCCCCCCCCCCCCCCCCCCATCCACCAGTAAGTGTTATTTAGGGGACGCGTATGCATGTCCCCTCCCTTGAAAGCACCCCTATATCTCCGGTGATTAAAGTCAATAGCTAATACGGGCCGGGCTTCGTTGACGGAAAAGCACCACTCTAATGGAAATTTTGGGAACATGAATTCGAGGGAGGGGGGGGGGGGAACCAGGCCACAGTTAAGGTTCATTCAGATATCAAGTAGTATGAAAAGCAACTGCGCGCAACAGATGTCGTACGCGTATATTGACCGAGCTCTGTGTTATATATTTACGTCATCCTAAAATAAAATACACTGCGGTTGGTCGCGTCGTATCCAAACGAGACTGTACTTTTGGAGACGTGATGTTTTCAAGGAATAACAAAAGTAAATCGTTTCTTAGAAAAGAATGGTTTGCATCTTTCAGTGTTGAACATTCTGATTTCCTCTTGAATGCCTTTAAACTCTTCACCAACCGCCATTAGAACACGGCATTTGAAGACTTTTATTTCCCCAAAATGACTATCGGCCAAATACACAAAACTAGCGAAAACATCACAGTTAGTTTTGTTTGCATCTCCGCATGCATCATGTATACCAGGATGAAAACATTACCTGTAAAAGCTCATTGCCTACCGGAACCTGATGGCTCCTGCGTTAAAGCCTACGGGAATGATCGAATTCAGTGATGAATGGGTTAAAGACATCATATAATCGTCCAAATGTCGGCAATACAGTTGACCAACGTGCACATATCCAACTTCAAGTGCGATCGAAAAAACACAATATATAAAGTCCTTGACTCCCCGATTCGAGGGCGGGCGCACTCCACATTAAACACTTGAAGCTGATTGGCTGAGACATTGGATCACGTGGGTATGTCCGATGTTGGTTCTTGATGGCGTCGATTCGTTACAAAACGTACCCCGGCCCATGCAACCAGAGGCAACATCATCCACACTGAAAACGATATCCACGTTGCTGTCTATCAAAACACAAAACGAAGAACACGAGAAAAAGTACAGTTTTAAGAAAAGGTGAGAGCTGGTAAAGATGAAAAATATATCGTGAGCTTTCTCATTCTCATTTTTTCTTCATGGCGGTTAAAAGATTATTCAGTGATAATTGAAACGCAACAGACTAAATATACCCTATTTGGTTTGTTTCACACTTTATTTGCACATGTTGAAAAAGCATAGTAATATGATATATTTAGAGAAATAATTTGTTTTCATAATTCATTTATTAATGTATGTATTTATTTCGAATATTTCAACAGGGTAGCACATTTTCACTAATAGTGGTAGTCTTCCATCAGACCCTGTTTGGTAACAAGAAAAAATGCACTTACAACCATGAAAAACTCACAACAGTAACAGAACGAATCACAGAAGAAAATAAATATTTATAAATACAGGTATACAAAGTATTTATGATCCTCGTAATAAATAATGCAATGCTGTGTTAAGCGCTAAAGGAGTTTGTATATTAATTATTATGTGCTATATTTTTATTATTATTATTATCATTATCATTATTATCGTTATTACTATTATCATCATTACTATTATTGTTGCTATTATCGTTATATTACCATTATTGTTTATATCATAACTACTACTACTACTACTACTACTACTACTACTACTACTACTACTACTACTACTACTACTATTGTTATAGTTATTAGTATTACTATTATTACTTGTATTATTACAAATTGCAGACCTCATATAATACCTGTGCCGTCGATAGTACGTCGTAAAATCTGTCCCCTTTAATAGATGAAGCCTTACTCCATTGAATTCGCTGAACAGCTCTGCAGTTGAGATCTCTAAAGATACACCAAAAATATTGAAGAAGAAGGAGGAGGAGGAGAAGGAAAAAGAAAAGGAAAAACGAGGTGTGAGAAAGAGATTAAGTGAGAGAGAAAAAGAGGGAGAGAAAGATAGAGAGAAAGCGGAGGAGGTGTATAGGAGAAATAAAGTCAGAAAAGGAGATAATCTTTGGGGTGCGAAAATGTGAAGTTAATTCTGGAATAGAACACGGATGCAATTTTTTCCTAAATTTTCATCAATAATACCGTTCAATATTTTGTAGCATACAGGTCGTTTATCACTTGATTATGGTTATCTTAACAATCATCGGTATATATATATATATATATATATATATATGTATTTCATATAAAATGGTGATACTGTCCCCAGAATAACATTCAAGGCAATGATATCTCGAATTCCTTGCTTTGCTGGTTTTATTACATTTACTTCACGTCACTTTCACTAACAAAGAGACCTTCAAGTATTTCCAATAGAATTGTTCCAGAAATATCCCCTTATCAAATAGTAGAGTCTAAATATCACAAATTTCCCTAACATCGCGATGTTATGGTACAAGGTGCTTAACCATATGTCCTCTTTACATGTTGGGGCCCGACATGACGAGATCTTGAAGAAGGGAGCTAAGTATTTGAGCTTTAGAAAATATTCTCATTTTGCACTTCACCCTGGGTTAGGGGCACACACAATAAATCCTTAAGGATTGTGACTTTTCTTCCCTTTCTCTTCCATCTCTTTCTTTTTTTTGTGATTTTGGCACCCCTTAATTTGACACTCTGTCCCCTTCACTTATAGATACACCACTGTAATAGTCGATACGCCACTTTTGAGAAGTATTATACTCGACCATGACTTACCTTTCTCCTAATGACTGTAGCCAAGAATCGCAGTACTCTTTGAATCCCGCGGATAGGATGCAAGATGAAACGAGGATAAAGGTAAAGGAGACTGTGTAGAGACCGGTAAACAGAAGGGGCACAGAACTGCAGCAGAAAAATTAAAAAGTATTCCAACATTTGTATTACAGTGCTATGACTGCTTAGTGCCTATCCGCAAGAGAGAGAGAGAGGGGGATGGCTAATAAGAAACAGAAAGTCGCCTTTTATCACAGTAATATTGAAGAAAAAAAAGATTCATGATATGGAAAATCCACAGTAATTATAACGATAACAAATAATGATTGTATTGATAACAACGGCAACAACAATAATTATACATATAATATGATGCCAATGATCAAACTCACGTTCCATGTGATTTGCGTTTTAGTAAAAAGTAACCCTGGACAGCAATGGTGATCAGAGCAAACATAGCTGCAACAACCTGCATGAGAGCGGTATAGAAAAAGAGAAAGTTAAGAAAATATCTTAAACAAAATTTAAAACTTATATGTCGTACGCTTAAATATTTGTTTACATAAATAAAATAAAATAAAAAGAACATACATATATATATATATATATATATATAGAGTCTTTCTCTGTTCTCAATTCACTGGTAAAATGAATATTAACTCTATTAAATACATTAATTCATTTTACGGTTTGAGTTTTACATTATTTTGAACAGTTCATAGTATTTATACTTCGTTCGCTTAAATATTTATTTATGTAACTATTAAACGAATATTTAAAAAAAAATCAAAATAAATTTTGATTGAAAAAAAATGATTGCTGATGGGGGATGTTGGTTGTTAGTATTTTGAATTATACATGTTCTTTTTTCTTCTTTATACTTTTGTTCAACGTTTGTTTTTAAGATTTGTATGTTGTGATATGTTTTATCTTATAATTATAAATGTGCGCGGATCTGCGGAAGAACAGGCTTTGGCTGAATTTGGTGCCGTGCAAATATGAAATAAACTTAACTGGAACTGAACTGATCCACAAGTTAATTTTAAAGAAATGAACCCTTAAATTTAATATTTTAGAGAGTCAGTTCCCTGTCTACCTACGACATAGCTGGGATATGATTTGTCCAATCAGAGCTTGATAGCATGATCAGACCACCCCCTCCCCCTAACCTTCCCCGCGGGAAGAAAAAAAAAGATGATACACTATGAACATGACGGACAAAAAAGCGGACAAAATATACAGTTCCTCAGGTAGGGAAAGGAACATCCATTCACAGCTAATATGTAAAAATGTGTAGAACAGGTGAATATGCATGTGACACCTGTTCTACACATTTTTACATAATAGCAGTAAAGGGATGTTCCTTTGTCTACCTGAGGAACTGTATATTTTGTCCGCTTTCTTTGTCCGTCATATTCATAATGATAATATAATTAGTTCCTTACCTGTACTATTATAATAAACCGACAGTTTGCAGAGCCTTTCCACGTCATTTTTGTTTTTGAGTCGGATACGTAGCTATATAGTAAACATTTATCATCGAAGTCACCCTGCAAGAAGAAAAAAGGTTCAAACGATAAGATATTAACCTAACAAGTTTTCGTTTGATGGACTGATTGTTTGATTTTTTTTTAAATAGTTTATTCTCGAACGGATCTACCTGATTTCTTTTTCACAAATGATTGCAATCTTTGATCGATTGATTGATTGACTGATAAATAGTTATTGGTTAATAGTATGAGAATGTGAGGATTATAAAGACAAAGAGAAAAGGGGTAGAGAGAGTGAGAGAGAGTGAGAGAGAGAGAGAGAGAGAGAGAGAGAGAGAGAGAGAGGGAGACAGACAGAGAGCGATCAAGAGACAGTTACTATCTTCAATACCACTAGTAAACAAACATACCGCATTTATGAATAATATACGCAAAATAAGAAATAAGTTTAGGTCGGGATTATCCGCAGCAAATTCTTTACAGGAATAATTAGCACCACACGTGACATCACACTTAGTTTAGTTTAGTTTAGCACACAATAATCAATAATTTACTCAGGAATATAATATACCTGTAACGAAATAGAAGTGAAAACAGTTAGACGTTTTGGAGCATACAATTCATTTTATGTATGTGTTGGAACAAATGGATTAAAAATAGCTGGAATATAATCAGGCATTGTTGTCAATTAATTTTCTTGCAAACAAACAATGCAGAAGATGAGCACTTGCTGTTTGCGTTCATAGCCATTTCAGTTTATTGATAGCTTTAAAAAAAAAAGTATGAGTCATGGTAGGTAAGAACATAATATTCACTCTTGAGCTGAAATCATTCATATGTTTCTAGAGATTCAAATGAAGGTACATAATACAAACTTCCCATTTGTCTTTAACAGCGCCATGATACCATATATTTTACCAGGTTCGAATATCAAAAGGATGAACAGTACATTACAATGTATTATCGTGATAACAATTTCAGTATGTTTATATTCGGCCTCAGGATGAAGAGTGTATTGGGTATTGTAGATTGACAAGTTAAGTGCAAACACATTGGACCAGAATGCAACAGCGTGTGTCTCTCAGGGCGCCTTAAAGGGACTTGGTTACATTGTTTAGATGAGAGAAAATGGTGCTAAGGTAGTGACTTCAATACCAGATGCACAATTGAAGATAATCTGCAAATTTGAGTGAAAACAGACCAGTAATATATGATAAAAATTGGGTGGGGAAAATTGATCTGATCGATTCCTTAATTCTCCCAACTATATTATATATTACAATTTAATTACATTTATGTAAATCATCACAAAGCAATAAAAAGGTTCTATATGCCTTCCAGACATTTAGGTGGTTTTTAAAAGCCTGTATTATTTCTTATGTTCATGGTTTAAGAATGTTTTCAGGATTGTTGGCACGTTAGAGGGTTAGTACAGTAGAAGGAATATAATAAGTAAACATTTCGTACAAAACTACGCAGGGTTTCTTCATCAAACTTCTACAATGTTACCGAGTCATTTTAACTATTATAGTTACTAACGAAAGTAGCCAGTTAGTTGTAGTAAGATGCTTTTCGTGTTTTAACTCGTTACCTACGGGAACCGGGTGGTCCTTGTATTAAGCCTATGGGAATTAGATAATTCAGTAGTCAAGGGGTTAATTAAACCATGTAATATTAAAACTGTATATCCTTACGGTTGCTATAACACATATTCACATGCCTTTTATTCATAATTTTTCGGGCCTACAAGCTTATTATACGTGAGAATTAGATTTCAATAATTAATTTTCGTCGTAATTATTGTGTTCATTGCACTGAAACTCGAATCGCTGCCTCTCAGGTTCTGCAGACATTCAAAACTTCTCCACCACTCACTTTGATAAAATGTGACTCTAAAGGCAGGAAGGAAACAAAATCAGCTTCAAATGGAGCACGATGTGCCCATGCCCTCGGGAGGCTCTGGTACACCTAATTCGACTCATTCAGAACATGATTTGCTTGAGAGAATAGGGTTCGGCGTTCGACCCATTTTCCTATAATGCGGCTGTCAAGTTGCAAGGCTCACAACATGGAAGAGGCGACACCGTCCCTTTTCCCATTTAGCATTTCTATTTGCTATTTCGTTTCATCCTCAGGTCTCTCTTACTCTCTGTCTCTAGGTCTTTACTTTGAGTGATACATCGGGGGGAATAAGATAACGTTATGCCTCCGTGACACCTTTGCGCATTTGGCTTGCACATTGCTGCGTATTTATGGCAAGCCAGTTTAACTTTTTTTTCTCCTATTTCTTGATATCATGGAATTATTTTCTGATGTAAAGCAATAGTAATTCTTGATATCAAGAATTCGATTACTTGATATCAAGAATTGCCATAAATATGCAGCAATACGTAAGCCAAATACGCAAAGGTATGACTGAGGCATTATGCCCGATATTCAGAGGAAAATATGGTGACCTTTTTAGTAAAACATCAATATTTGAGTCTCATTATTTCATCCTATATTGGTACCTTAGATTTGATTCTTGGGTAGTAAATTATTATACATGTATCAAATATTACTGGTAAGGGGTACTGATAAGGCGTAACTCGTATTTGTAAAGTTTGTGTCATGTCCTGGGCTTGTACTAATCACTTATCTACGAAAGGTAGGGTTGAGAATTTGTGTGATCTTTTTACAGGCCGTTAAATTGAGAATACTCACGCTTTTGCGTGTACGCGACTCTTTTCCTACTTATCCCTACATTTTTACAGTCTTAATTTTTTTAAATTTAATCTAGTCATGACGTTTGTTTATGTACATGTATGTACTCTCTTTTTTTTAAACTTCTTTCTTTATTTTGTTAACTCTTGGTTATCGTTCCTTTTGTAGATGAGGGAGGACCTTTCGCCTGATCCCCTTCCCCAAGAGAGAGGGGGGGGGGGTGCGACAACAAGCTTTCAGATAGAATCATAGGCGGAGAATCATGCATATTGATACGTTGTTGTTAGTCCCTTCTCATTGACCATTTACAATTATTACATATGCGTCAAGTTTCACGGCTGTTAGTTTTTTACAAATGATATTTCAACGAAATGTTGGGTCACGTAACCCAACACTTCGTAGATCAGATAGTGTGTTCTCCGCAAGTACTCAAAACGTGATAACGTCAATACGTGAGTGATCGTTGCAAGCCCATGTTCGTTATAATTACAAAGGGTCCACTTTCTCTTCAACTATACAGTGAAATACTGTTAAATTTGCCACGTAAGCCCTGCTAGTCAAATGTATATAATTCACTGAAAATTGTCTTTAAGTAACCAACAACAAAAAATATTCTTATTGCATCTCTATCTCTCTATCTCTATCTTTCTCTGTCTATCTATCTAATATATCTTCCTCTCTCTCTCTCTCTCTCTCATTCTTTCATTGTCACTGGTAACCCCCTCCCCCATCCTCTACCCCCTATCCTCCTACACCTTTCTTCCTCGCCGATTAAACACACCGGACCTAAAATATGATACATGGCAGAAGCTATCTTTAAAGTGACTCGGTAACATTGGTAACATTGTTAAAGTTTGATTTAAAAAAACTGCGTAGTTTTTCACTGAAATGTTACTCACTATCTTCCTTTTACTGTACTAACTCTCTTACATGCAACAAATTCTTTAACAATTCTCTAACCACAAAGATATTTACTTTTTTTAAGGAGTCACTGTGCGACACCCTCTCCTAAATTCTCCCAACCATTTTTTAATTTACCCAACCGTATTTTCTTGAAAATAACACAGGCTTTTAAAAATCTGTAAACACTTAAATGTCTACAGAACCCTTTTATGGCTTTGTGATGATTTTCATTCATCTAAATCGTAATTAAATTGTAATAATATAGTTGAGAGAATTAAGGAACAAGATAGAATAATTGTTTTGCGTTAAACAGAACTTTTAAAGAAACATAAAAAAAATAACTATTTTGCATAGAAATTGTTTTTCTTTCTCTTTAGAAAATGTTCAATGAAGTTGCAGTAGGATCTGGTGAGACTATACAGAGTCAAGTCAAATTCTCTCTCTAAGATACGGATGTTATTGTTAGGAATGCTTTTAGCGTGCTTGACAGACGGCTTACCTATATTAGGGGGATGTCTTTTCACCGCGACTAGACTAAACCAAGTTGTGATTGAAAAATGGAGGCGGAGGAGAATGGGATGAAATGTATCTCGTACCTCACGTCTGAAACGGCCGAGCTTAATGCGGAACATGCATCATGCCAATGTTTACACAATGACTGGATGTACCACCAATTGCGGGTTTAAGGTGGCACAGCCGACATTTTCCCCATTTTGTTTGTATTGATTCCAAATATACAAATCATTCTTAGAAATGCAGTTGTTTTTCATCTTGACATAATTCAATATATTTGTCAATACATTGATTATACGATTGATAAAAACAAATGAAATCAGTTGTAATATAAAACAATAACCCCATCCAACCAAACACACTACTACCCCCCCCCCCCCCACCATGCGACACACGACACTTTTCCTCCATATTTTTTATTGGAGATTTCATTCAAAATAAATCATTACATAAAAAATCAATGTAAATAATTACATACAAATACAAATCTTCATTTTGATTTCTTAACGCAAATGAATTGTTCAAAAAACAGTAGGCAAAGCAGGAGAATAATAGAATGAAATTACTAAATTTTTCTTATAATAATAATAACATCCTGAAAATAACATAATAAATATTTGTATACAATGCCCCTCCGTTACCCCTCAAACCCCTTCTGTTACTTAACCCCCCCCCCCGTAAACATTCACATTCACACTCACCAGCTCGCACATCACAAACATACACAGATTCAAACGCGCACAACACTAGACACACATACCCACCACGCACAACGCACACATATAAACATGAACACACAAATTGTACCACCCTAAAGTTGTGCCCCCCCCCCTTCAAATGTGCGACCCGAAAAATATAATATTTGTTTCCTCTATTTTACATCGTTTGTTTGCTAATTTTGTTTTGTTTATGCTTTATTACTTGTCAGATCATTTT